GGACCGTGCGTTATTAGAAGTGGTCGTAATCTTCTTTGTCACTGTCACAACTACAGATGTATTTAGAATAAATGAATATTTTTAGCCGAGCAAAGCCTTTCAACACATTTAAATTTAGTTTTTAATATCGGTGTGACGTCTGTGGGATATTAATGTTTTGAAAGATAAAAATGCGTTCTCGTCTTCATAAAAATGTTATTGAAACCGCGTCGTTGACGGGTCGGAAAGCGGCGACAAAACTTTCTTTTTAATGTGATTGATGCGTCGGGTGGAATGATGGCTAGCCTCTTAATAGCGGACTTAACACTAAATTTACTCGGAATGCAATTTAAATATTTGCCACACTTTGATGTAAAACTGGTTTATGAGTTTATTCGATACCTTTTATTTTTACTCATTTTAATATACTTTTATTATACATACATTTGTTATTAAAGATAACTTGTATTTTTTAATAATTTAAGAAAGTTGTGTAAATATTTTTATCTGACCTCAAGATATCCAAAGGAAATTTCAAAAAAAAAAATCGAACGAATATGCATGCAAAAAAGATCACAAATTCATTAATCCATCATCATAAATTCAAATTGTCGTTTAGGAAGACGCTATAAAAATAAGTTCGAGTTAAGTACAATTTTTCAATTAAAATTCAAACTAAAGACAGAACTGATTGTATCTGACAAAGGGTTTGCTTCAGCTATTGTTTTGTAGCATGGCAAACATAAATTTTATGCCCTACTATGATTTGAACTGAAGCCAATGATGATAAAATTGATCAAATTTGTTTTTTGTGGCAGTTTTAAGTATTTATCTTTTGAAAAGTTTTTGAATTTATTTTTTTTTTAAACAAATGTTGCATAGAGTTCAGATTTTAGAAATCAAGCTATTAAAGAAATTGCGTTGCGCGGGTGTGACATGTTTACTTAATCGAGATAAGACTTTGAAGTTGCAGTGCTGTAGACCCAACTTTCAATTTGATATTAGTGGAAATATGATATATCTGAAGATGTCAGTTTGGATCCCAAAACTAAAAATATAAAATAAAACGAAATTATAAGTCATAATCGATTATGCTTTATAATTTTGAAAAATGATAAAAGTTATTAAGAATTTGTATCATTTTAAAGCGAAATTTAAAAACCTTTTTACAGATATAAACAATATATTTCATGAAATGAACCATGTTGGTCTTCCTGTTTCTATTGAAGCAGATTCCATACAGTTGTTCCTTACAATAAAGACGAATTAAATTACTCATCTTTAATGGTTTGGGCTGTATTGTATTATTTGTTATGTAATTATGTTACTCAGAAAAGCATAAAAAACCACTGTTGTTATTCCCTAATGCATTCACGAGCCCAAAACCTAAACTCATTAATAGAAACTAGTGTTAATTCGAAAAAAAGTTTTATTAACCAAAAAATTACAAAGAATGTAAAATTAGATCATCTAATGAGTGCGAAAGTGAAAAAGAATTATTGCTTTTCAAGGAGCAGCCACCAACATGCAATTTTTGTTTTGGCTAATAATTTTAATAATCGCAGATAGATTGTTATACAGAGTGAGAACCTGACAAATAGATTCTATTACTTGTATGGTCTATATGCTCCTTAAAGTTGAGACTATCTATAAATAATCCTAACTTAATAAAATTTAAACACTAACAAAATTTCGCCGTTCATGTTGGCTTCTTCAGAGCTTAATTGAAAACCAAAAGCAGCAAGTTCGATTCGTCAACAACCCACGCAGGAGGAATCCAGAAGTTTTGTAAATAGTATTACAGTAGCCTGTGGAAGTCCCTTTGAAAAATTAATTAAGACAATATTAATTTTAATACAGGTATGTATTATCTCTCAATCATTCTATGCACTTCTTCGATACACTTTCCGTTCGTGTCCGTGTAACAACCAAAATATTTCACACATGGGTGTCCCTGTATACATGTATATGGTAGTCGAACAATCCGAAAATTCCAATAACTGCCAACCATAATAGTTCAAATTACGTTTGAATAACTTTAATATCACTTGTCGGCAGTTGGGCGTTTCGTAGGTACTTTTTTGTGCTCTAAAAGGGAAATTTTAACAGAAAAATAGATCATGCTGGTACACAAAAAACGACTTTCAGTCAATGAACACAACTGTTTCATGTCGCCCGTAAGAAAAAAGTGCTTTCAAAGAAGTTATGGTTTGAGGAGCAATGTGAAATGCGGGTTCTTGTTCTGCAAATAATTGTAAGGCATAGTTCCTTAATTGCGTAATCGTTCGCAACTCATCGGTATCTCTAGCTTGAACGTTCAGTGTACCACATACAATGTTAATTTGTTATTTAATTAAGCTTGACGGCAGAAAAAAATCAATGACAATGTTAATCAGTAAATAATAAAACTATATCAATTTTTCAAGGACTGTGAATTAACTAGACCATTTGAATTAAATAAAGATATTCGCAAGTTACTACACAAAGTATGCCACCATAATGAAAAATGGTTAAATATAACAACTTGTGTGTTACATCATATCATACGTAAAATTAAGTGAAGTACAGGGCCATTTCAGATATTTTTGTTTTTTTCCTTGAACCATTGTTTTTTGTTGGTGCTGTTCTATTTTATTCCTATTGCCTCTTGTGTAGCTTCTGTTAGACTCGTTATTATGTTCTCGTAGATTTCGTCAAACGTGTGTCCATCAGGACTGAGCAGCTTACTCTCGAGCCGTCTTTGATAAAGAAATACTGTGCTCTCATCCCTAAAACTGTCAAAGTTGTCTTTTGGTGTAACAGTTGTCTCCGCGGATGTCACGTTATTGTTTTGAACTCTCTGAAGGTTTCTAGTTTTTCGAAAATGAAGGCTTATGTTGGCTTTCACTACGTAGTGATCTGATCCGCAGGTGCTCCCTCTTAGGATTCTCACATCGTTAATTTGCAAATTTGTTTTCTGTCGACTAATCACGTAGTCAATGATGGATTTAAGGTTTCGAGTACTCTTTGTCCATATATAGCGATGGATATTTTAATTGTTTAAAGAAACCATTCTTAATTTTTAGGTATTCTTAATTTTTAGGTTTTGGGTCTCGCAAAGATGAATTAGTCTTTCACCGTTATCATTGATTGTTTCTTCTCCATACGGTCCCACGATTGGACAATTTTGTTGTTTTCCCGTGCTTCCATTGAAGTCACCCATCATCACAATTTCTCTATTTTGCACGGTGTTTGTAATTACTTCATCTAATTTGTCATAAAATTCCTGTTTAATATGGGCTCTTTCATCTTCTGATGGTGAATAGGCTGCGATAATCGTTATGTTATGGCCATGTAGTTTCAAGTTAACTGTTAGAATGTTTTCATCAACAACTTCCCAATTACTTATTTTATTTCTCCAATCTTTTCTTATGAGTATTTATTAGTATTGATACTCCTCTCGCTGCTCTCTTTTCTTTTGACACTCCGGAAAATATATGGACAAAGTATCCGACAAAACCGGTACCTTTTTCTTTTTTCTCGGTTTCCGTTAAGGCTGCCAAATCAATTTTTCGTTCCTTGATTTCTGCCGCAATAAAATCAGTTTTCTGTCTTATACCCTGAACATTCCATGTGGCAAAATTCATTGTCCATTTTCGTTGCTTAGTTCGTCGTTCAAGTGATCCATCCGGTGTTCCGAGGCCTTGTTTAGGCTTTTTGGTATATTTATGTTTTTCAAAGTATTAGAGAACCAGTCTAATGCCTTAACCCCCAACCTGTTACTATTTGAATTAAACGCCAACGGAAGGCAGTGTCTCACATGTAAACGTTGGGCTTATTGTTCCTGCGCTGGCGCTGAAGATGAAGACAAAGAAGCAGATTTTACTTGCCATATCATACGCAAAATTAAGTGAAGTACAGGATGAGTCACCAATAGTTCATTATCTCGTTGGTTTTAAAAGTTATAAGAAAATGGTAGATACATTCACTCATATTTAATATTATCGTTATTGGAAGATGGCGTAAAAGATATATAATACGGGATGATCAAAATAAACGAATATATTTCGATCATTATTAATTGAAAAATATCAATTTTCATAAATAGCACACCATATATATTATTATATATTATATAATATGTCATATAGCTATTTTTAATACTTTGCGATTTATTATAACTTTTTCAATATTAACCTTTTTTCGTGTCCAAGAATATTGCTGTAATATTACTTAAGATTAAAAAATGAAGAGGAGAAAGAACTTTATTGGAGCCGTCAATAAAGCAACAGACAGTAATTTTGTTTAGTTTTAGTTATTTTAGTTAGTTAAGTGGTACCCGAAAAACATATGGTCCAATTAGTTTAAGGTGTTTTTTCTCCACACCACACATTAAGTGACTAATGGTTTTGTTTTGCGCCTCCCGTACCCTGAACGGATTAACTGTTGAATAATAATGTACGTTATGACAAGTAACTGCACCATTAGTGCTAAAAGTAGCTGCATCGTAAAACATTATTTTATAAATTAGAAAATTGCTATTGCTTCATTTGTAACGGTGTAGAAGTTCACCTTTTGTTCAAAATCACGGTGCACAAGTTCTTGCTGTAGTTCCATATCGAAGGGATGATAAGCGATTGGGATGTATCACACAATTTAGCTAGGTGACCTGGGATTATCTTGAAGTGAAATTCCCAATTCATTTTCCGTATCGGTAGCATGGTGGTTTGCCATTTTCCGTTTTTCATATTCAATACTACCACTAGCATCAAACCGTTCCATTAAACACTGAAGAGATTGTCTAGTTGGTTTAATGTCTATTAGGTTACTTCGCCTGGGGCCTGGTGGATTGAGTAGCTCTACCATTATCACTGCCTACCTACTGTAAAAACTATACACGGCTGACAGAACCAATGTAATACCTCGGAAAATAATATGATGACGAAATCGGCAAGAAAACGGAAAATGAGCAGCTATAAAAAAGAATATAATGCGATAGAAATATAGAGATATGTGAAACAAAAAAGAAAGACAAAGGACAAATGTGGCTCGGCGAATATATTTTAATATACAGTGGAGTGGAAAGGCACGTCAGATCAAAAGAGGGTGTAAAATTAATAATCCGTAGAAAACTGTCTCAAAATATCCAGGAAGGCAAATATGCATCGGAAAGAATTATATTAGTTAAGCTTAAATCAGAAAATCAAAAAACTAACACAATTGGAATTTACACCCCAGAAAACTGCAAACCAGAAGGAGACAGACTAAAATTTGATGAGAAATTACAAGATACAATTGATGCAATACCAAAAAGAGAGATAATTATTATATTAGGTGACTTCAATGCACGAGTAGGGAACGCAACAATAGCAGGGGTGAAAGAAAAATTTAATGAAAGTGTGACTAATGAGAACGGCGAATCTTTAGTAAACAATAAATAACACCTTTTTAGACACCAAGAGCAATATAAATATACATTCAAAAATACACGAGGAGATGGATCAATCATAGACTACACCTTAACAAATAGGGAAATACATTACACACAAATACTAGATATAAGATGTTTATGTTCTGCTAATGTAGAAAGTGACCTCAATCTTGTTTGGGGGAAAATAGAAATGAAAATAAGCAAACATCAAAAAACTAACATAAAATTTTGAGAAACAAAGACTAAAGTAGGGAAACTACAGTATGAATTAATAAAAAATCTCTATCAAACAAGATTGGAAAACAAAATAAACGAAAACTCAGTAATAGAAGAAGATATAGAAAATAGGGGGAGAAACATTCGAGAAAATATCAAAAACCGACAGAACATCAAAAAGAATAAAAAGTACACCTTCCTTTTGTGACGAAGTAAAACTAAAATGTCAACAGAAAACAAGAGCCTATCTCAAATATAAGTCCACGAAAACAGGAGAAGATTATGAAGAATATGAAAGAATTCGCAACGAAACAAACACACTGGTAAGGAAAAAGAAAAAAGAACACTGGGAAAAAATTCTCAAAATATATGGAACGCGACTTTTATGGTTTGCAAAAGGTGATCTGAAGAATGATATATGGACAGCGACAAGAAATGAACGAATTGATAAAGGTAAAGTTTATCGAAAATGATACATGGACAAACCACTTAAAACAATTGTACATTACGACGGAGAATTTAACACCAGAAACCCCGGATATAGTAACAGATGAAATACTAGAAATAAATAGTGAAGAAAACCGAAGATCGGCTAGCAAAGATCGAATACAGAATGAATTATTGAAGCACGGAGCTCCCAAGCAAACAGCGTTTATAAAAAAGTGAATACGAAGATCACAAATACCGGAAGACACTTTTTAGAAAGAGGAAGAAAACTGATCCAAATAACTATCGAGGAATTAACCTCCTATGCACGACTTTGAAACTGTCAACAAGAATTATTACCAACAAAATAACTCCACCTGTAAAACTTTTTGAAGAACAACAAGGTTTCAGAAGTCGAAGATCTTGTAATGAGGTAGTATTTGTAATTAGGCAAATTATAGAAAAATCAATTGCGTACAATAGTTCAGTGTTCTTATGCTTCAATGTCTTAGAAAAAGTTTTTGATGGAGTGCAGCTACAGAACCTGATACATATACTTTATGACAGAAATATCCCATTTGATATAATAATACCAATCGAAAATATATACAAAAAAATTAAAATAAAAGCAAGAGTAAATTCAGCGCCAACTGAGCCCATAGATGTAACTACATGTATTGGGCAAGGAGACTCACTAAGCCCCTTATTATCGAACATTATATTAGACGAAATAATTAGAGAAGTAAAAACAAAAAGGGGTAATAAAGAAATACAAGTGTAACGGCCGACGATGATACTGTAGTATCATCGTCGGTATCTGAAATTGAAAAAACAAAATCTGTAGTTCTACCAGGCATGACATATACCGCTGAAACAATACCGGAAACATCTAAGACTCAGAAATAATTGGAAACAAATGAAATGAAAACATTAAGGGAAATAGCAGGGAAAACACTCTGGGCTAGAGAAACAAATGAAAACATAAGACACATATGTGGAATTGAAAACATAGAAAGCAAGAATGGAATCAACATAGAATAGAATGTCTGAACAACGGATAATGAGGAAAGCAAGAGATAGATCGCGTGCCGGTCGGAGGAATATAGGACGCCCACGAAAAAGATGGAACGATAACTTGTGATAAAAATTACATTCAAGTAAAATGGAAGAAGAAAAAGGTTACTTCGTTATGTAAACTCCTACTGCCAACAAAGTATTTTTCCGCATTATAGATAGTATATAAATCATATCAACTAATGCAGCTTTAGGAAAATCCATTCTCAGTTATTTTTTTTAATTTACTGACAATAGTAAATTTTATGAATTTATTTACACAGTTGTCATGTAAAAATCTCAAATGTCATTTGTCAGTCTCAATGTCATGAACTTTAAAAGGAATTCATGCTTTTTTAAGCGATCCTGTATACTTTAAAATAATTTCAATAATGTAATATGTAATATGACCGCTTTCAAATATTATTGTTGTTATTATTATTATTATTATTATTATTATTATTATTATTATTATTATTATTATGGCAACTACTTATTTTCTATAAATCTTAACGAATAAATAACAAAAATCAACATACATTTTAGTTTAACGTTTCTCTAAACTTAAAAAGAATATATGTTTCTTGAGTCATATTTTCGATGTTCAGAGATTTGAACTCGCAAATTGTTTTAAGTGATACTAGTTCAGATTGTCCTGCTTCTTCTTCGATCCGTTCCTCAGCACAATTGGCGAAGCATTCAGTCCAGCAATTATAAGTTGTAATATTGTGTTCACGTTTTCTCAACCTTTGTTTAGCTTTTTTGAGTCCTGGTGTGAATATAATATAATATAATATAACTCCTCTGAAAAAAAAAGACAAATTAAATTTAGGTTTTAACCCCTCCATTTTCACAATTTACTTAAAGAATTCATTAACAGAATAGAAATAAAACTGTGAAGGCTTTATCAATAGCAGATCAGATGCTGCACATTCTCTTCTTTGCTAACGATCAAGTTTTGGTACTGGGAGACAGGAACAACGCCAGTAATATTACGAAAATGGTCAAACAAATGTCAGTCTTTGAATCACTAGGCACTTATGGATCAGAAACTTGCTAGTTAACATAACGGAACAAGGAACGAATATTGAAGAAGAAGTGATAGAACGTCAAGTTTGGTACACATAATAAATGAGCAAATCGGTATTACTGACTCCATTCTGGATACAGTCATAAGTAAAATGCTCACTTGGTATGGAGAGTGGAACGGAATGAATGATATTAAGTTCCCCAGAAAGCAAAAAAAAAAAGGAAGGTCGCCACAAAGCTGAAAAGATGATGTACAGAAAGCTACATTAACAAGAAGAAGATTGGTGGAATCCCAGGTAATCAAAATCGAGAGGCGAGAAACGACGACAGTAGAAAACCTCGCAGAATGCTAAGATTTAACTGTCGGTTGTCACATAACTAACAGAAAAAGTGTCCTATTGTCTGAGAACAAGGCAAAATTAAATTTACACAGCTCAGTATATCAGGCTTTCTACATATAAGCAATATCTTTAATATCTGAATAAGAGAAACTCACTCTATTATTAGTGTATAAAGAGTACAAGATCAATTAGGTATTCTACTACATTACGACATTAAATATTTCAACAAGAGTTCAGCTTTGAATATTGAACCTAACTCAAACATAATCTCACTTTACAGGGTTCTAATTACCCAAACTTTAAAAAATGGCGATGAAATCTTTTTTTAATCAAATCCACAAGAAAAACAACAACACAATTCCATGGATTTTGGATTAATCTAGACGCTCCTATCGGAAATGGGGTTTATTTTTAGAATCCAGGATGTTTCCATTAATAAGAATCGATTGGACGCACCGCCCTGCGCCTTCTCGTACTCCATTACCTCTCCAAAATTGCCGTTTTCAGCTGCGAAGGGGCATTACCTCATTTTGACGCTCATTTCTGTTATTAGTCGAACACTTTGGGAAATCGATATGGGAAAGCTTTAAATAAAGGCAGTGGTTAGGCTACTTGTTGTTGAATTTTTGTGTTTAATTAACAACAACACTTTTCTGTTGAATTAGCTGCCACTAGTCTGGGGTTTTTCTTTTAGGTTAGTATTCAAAATGAATTTTTGCTATACAATGGCAAGTACCCTACAATTTTTGAAAATAATTTTTTAATGCACACGACTGAGCGTTATAGAACGTGCGGATTGCAAAATTACTGCGATTGTTCGCCGTCATACGGGACATAAAACGAAAATGACTTAAGCGAACAATACATTTGACATAATAATGCCAAGTCTCCATAGTTAAGCTAATTTTGTGGGCAGCCGGCAACATTAAATAATCATACCGAACGAATAATAGGCAGAACAAAAAACATGCAATTTTTTAGAGTTAATTAAACACGGATTACCCAGCAGCGTATAACGTCACTGAAACATGAAGTCCGTTAATTGTAACATTAGTGACAGCCATTATTATGTTAGACCGTAGGAAAGTTAAAAATGTAGGCCCGGATTTGTTTACCGCTCATGATTGTTATCGCGTCTTTCGCCATTGAATTGCTTAAGTTAAATCCAATCAAAATTCGCTATGAATTAGTAGACGCATAAGTATGTATGAAATGCTCGGGTCACGCTTTACGTCACACAATATTTATAATTTTTCTAAATTGCTTGACCTCAATATATTAATAATTAACAAGTTATGTTCATGTAAAATGCTTTTGGATTGGTTTCATAGATAAATTTGTTGGATATATATAATAAAAAAATTAAAAGGCAAAACTGGATTGTATTAACTTACACTTTTAAAATGTTATTTATGCAGGGTGTTTGATTTTCATTGGCACGTAAGAACTTTCCTATTTTAAATAGATCACCCTGTACATTAAGCGATTTTTGATTGATTTTGAACGTTCTAGACATATTTAATTTACATATATACATATTTCATATACAGAATAACCTATATCAAACTCTTATAGTTTCTAACATATTTTTAATTTTGAGTCAAAAGTAACGTTTGCAAATCCAAAAATTTCTTCGACTGAAAGCCTTTGTTAAATTTTTGGGGTGGATTTTCTTATAGAAGGGGATCTACTTTAGTGCAATGAGTTAATATTTTGGAAATAAATAAATACAGGTTGGCCAAAAACTAAAAGTTAAAGTTAAAAGTTATTTTTATCAAATGGAAACACGCAGACTTTGTTGAAAATTTCGCAATATTATATATTGGCAATACAATGTTTTTGAAGATAACAGCAAAGTATGGCATGGCATTGCAATTTTTTATAAATCTTATAGATCAAGTTGAGTAAGTAAGTAGTTAAGTTATGAACACAAACCTTTTTACATTTTTTTAATGTCTAAAAATGGAATACATTTTATCATACGCATTAAGCATACTGAAAAATATCCAGATGGACAAAAAAAATACAACAAACGCCTTTTTAGACGGATAACAGAAAAAAATAAAAATTTCGATAAAAATGTATACTTATATAAAAAATGTAATTTTAATATATTTTTTCTAAATGATGCAAATAATAAACTGCCTGTATTTGTTTTATTTAGTATTAGTATTTTTATGATAAAAACTAAGTTAGGTGGGTTAAAACTGTCAAACATTGATTTCCAAACCCAAAACAAGTCAAAATATAGAAGTCTCGGTAGTGCTAAATTGTTTTTTTTTGCCGTGTTTTATCGCAACATTGTTACATTTAAAAAACGCTTTATTGCTCATATTTCAAATCTACAACTTTGACATAATAATACGACATAATACGAAATGCGATAAAATTATAGTGGGATATTTCAATTCTTAAAAAAATGCCTTAAATATTTTTTTCATGTTGAATGTAAGTAAGAGTAAGAGAATTTTCCGAATTTAAAAAGTATTTAATATAGTTTATATTAAAAAAAAGTAAGTTTTTACTTGACCACCCTGCACAACTTTTATCTCGTAACTTTTTTTTCTATTATTAATAGATTCTTAGAAAAGGTACAATTGTTTTTAGGTTAGGTACGCATAGAAAATTTAGAAGTTGATAATTTCAAAAAGCAAATGCATTTTAGAGATGCCAAATTTTTTGTTTCGGAAACATACATATTTTGATATATAAACATTTTCTCAAAATAGTTATAATTAAGGCAGTTATAGTATTTTTCCACACTCTACTGAGCTTACGACAATTTTCTGGACGTGCTTCGTTAGAATAATCAGTAGATTATATAAATTGTTCATATTTGTTCGTGCATCTATGCATGTAATTTTATTTCGATGGTACACGATTTCTGAATTTCTTCTGCGTCGGGTTTAGATTTTTTACCTTTGACCTTTCACCAAGCGAGCTATTTTCTTCTAAGCGCTGTCTGAGATAATAATAATAATAATTTAATTAGCGAAACTCATATTTAGAACATTGTGTTAGCTGCTGTTGTGGTTGTGGCGTAGTTCGGGTTACCGAAGTTTTTAAGAGAATGAAAATCTGTGAAAGAAATGGGAGGTCCCACCTAGAAGAAAATGAATTACTAGATTAAGAAAACTACGCAAATGGTACAGCTGAGCTCTTCAGATATATCTTCAACAAGATTCGCCTAAAGAAGAAGAAATCAAACAAGCGTTTTCCATTCCCATATCTTACTTTTTGTGCATTGTTCTTACATTCGGGTTGATTTGGTCTGCTCTCAATGATCTACCCCGCTAAACTCGTTTAAAGAAAAGAAAACATAATCGCGTACCGAAACGAGAAATTCCAAAAAACCTGTAACACACCAAGCGGCAAACATATGCTCATCAATTATTAAGGCGAGTTTCTTACAACTCGCGGCCCCATGCAAAGGACAAACTAAAAATAAAAGTATCAAAGCAATATCGATATATAACGTTCGCTTCGCATTTGAATATTTAATGCGGCCCCTCTGACGCTAAATGCACATGTCAGGAAATCGTTAGGTTCAATGTTGCGGTCGGTAAATAATAAAAATCTCGTTCGGTCCCGAACGCGTTTCCCCAATTTTCTACTAGTTTTCATTTTAAATTGTTAACAAGAATGCGTGTTATGTCGATTCGGCCCGAATTGACATTAAACCGCAACACACGCGTCTGTTGATATTTTGCTTGAATAGTTTATGAGCCAAATTGATTTTAAAGTGGCCGGGGTGGGATTCCTGTCACGCCGCCGCACCGCCGGTTTTTTGTCGCCTCACCCGCCATTTCTGCTTGTTTTAGTGTCGGCGCTTGTTCAGAGTTCGAAATAAATAGGTCCAGTTCAAATAACTATCGGCAGTTCGTTCCTTGTTTTAAAATATTTTTTGAATCTAAATTTAATAAAAAAACACGAGTTTAGGTTTCGCTTTATGGTTGCGCAAAATAAATGATATTCATTTTTGATTTTAAAGTTGATGTGTGGTATTTCAATCAGTTTTGCATCAGTGAAATTATGTATTGATTCACACTTATTGATTCACGGGTGGAAAAATGTAATGATAATACATTCCGGGACATCATAAAATTTTGTACATGCTTTAGTATACTAAATCGAAAAATGGAACTTATGTACTGTGTGTGTGTGTGTGTGTGTTTTTTTTTTTTTTTCAAAGGGGGAAATACTTTTACGTATTCAACAAGCTTAGGTGTTTGGCCTGGATATGTCGGACTCGAACATTGGCTGTAGACATGTCAATGCTAATACCGATTAAAACCTTCCCTCCATTCCTCTTGCCTCTGATCCTCATGGAAACCGCAGTCAGGCATTATCTAGCTACTGCTCTTAATTCTGGTGGCTAAGGTGTTATTTTCCTTTCTTCTATCTTCTGTGATTTGCTCTTCTTCTTTCCATGGAACGCAGCTCCGTAATTACCTCTGTGGCAAAGGTGTTTGTAGCATTCAGACAGCTTCAGATGACAGCATTGCTACCACTAATGTTTCTGGCAGGATCTTTTGGTTCAAAATCCCCTCCAAAATATCGCGCTGTGGATTGAAACGAGGGCACACAAAGAAGACGTGTTCCGCATCTTCATCGTCTCTTGAGCAGGACGGGCACTTTGAAGAATTGTCTTGTTTAAAGCGGTGTAGATACTCTTGGAAGCAGCCATGAA